TTCCATAATAAGCAGAAACTAAAACAATATATGACCACCAAGCCAGCACTACAAAAGATTCTTCAAGAAATTCTGCACACAGAAAATGAAACCAAACAAAACCATGAAGAGCAAGCAGTACCAAACCACAGGAGAAGAAAAGACAAGGAATCAGAGAGTAACATTGATTCAACTGCACACAATCAAACCCTTAAACAACAAAAACAACTAAATGACAGGAATCACCACATACCTATCAATGCTAACACTGAATGTTAACAGACTTTACTCCCCCATCAAAAGACAGTGTTTGGCAAACTGGGTTAAAAAGGAAGATCCAACAATCTGTTGTTTACAAGAGAACCATCTCATTGACAGAAACAAGCACTGGTTTAGGGAAGAAGATTTACCAAACCAATGGCCCCTGAAAACAGGCAGGAGTAGCAATACTTATCCCAGACAAAGTAGACTTCAAACTTACATCGATCAAACGAGATAAAGAAGGACATTCCATACTAATAAAAGGGGAAATAGACCAAAAGGAAATAATAATCATCAATCTGTATTGCACCCAATGTCAAAACATACCCTGAAAAGACCTAAAGCATAATTATAAAAAACGCCAACACAGTGGTAGTTGGGAACCCTTAATAATCCCCTATCCACAATAGATAGGTCATCCAAACAAAAGAATAAAGAAATTCTAGGAAACTAAATCACACCATAGATCAAATGGACCGAGCTGATCTCTTACAGAATATTCATCCAACTTCTGCACCAATATACATTCTTCTCAGCAGTCATAAACCTTCTCCAAAAATTGATCATATCTTAGGCACAAAGCAAGCCTCAGGAAATATAAGAAAATAAAAATAATTCTATGCATTCTATCTATCACAATGCATTTCTATCTGATCACAATGCATTAAAACTAGAACTCAATAACAAAAGCAACAGTAGAAAACATGCAAACAACTGGAAGCTGAACAACACATTGCTCAATGATCAATGTGTCATTGATGAAATAAAAGAGGAAATTAAAAGGTTCCTGGAAGCTAATGAAAATGGAAACAGGACCTACCAGAACCCATGGGACACAGCAAAGGCAGTCCTAAGAGGAAAGTTTATAGCCATGAGTGCATATATTAAAAGGAAAGAAAGATCTCAAATCAATGACCTAATGCTACATTTCAAACTCCTAGAAAAACAAGAAAAGTAAATCCCAAAACAAGCAGGAGAGAAATACTAAAAAAAAGGGCCAAAATTAATGAAATAGAAACCAAAAAAAAAAAAAAACAAAGAATCAACAAAACAAAAAGCTTGTTCTTTGAAAAAATAAACAAGATTGACATACCTCCGGCAAACCTGATTAAAATGAGGTGAGAAAAAACCCAAATCAGTAAAATCAGAAATGCAAAAGGGGAGATAACAACATACATCACGGAAATCCAGGAAATCATCAGACTACTTTGAGAACCAATATTCTAATAAATTTGAAAGTCTTCAAGAAATGGACAAATTTCTAGATACTTATGACCATCCAAAGTTGAACCAAGAGGATATTAATCACTTGAATAGCTCTATAAATACAAAATGAAATTGAAGCAACAATAGTCTCCCAAGAAAGAAAAGTCCAGGACTTGATGGATTCTCAGCTGAATTCTACCACACCTTTAAAGAACAACTTTAAGAAAGAACAATAGCAATTCTCCTTAAACTTTTCCATTAAATAGAAAAGGAAGGAACACTGCCTAACTCATTTTTATGAAGACAGTATTACACTCATCCCAAAACCAGATGAAGACACTTCCAAAAAGGAGAACTATAGGCAAATCTCCTTAATGAACATTGATGCAAAAATCCTCAATACAATAATGGTAAACCGAATCCAACAACATATCAGAAAGATCATTCACCACAACCAAGTTGGCTTCATCCTAGGGATGCAGGAGTGGTACAACATACTCAAATCTATAAATGTAATACAGCACATTAATAGAAGCAAAGACAAAAACCACTTGATCATCTCAGTAGATGCAGAAAAAATCTTCAATAAGATTGTACACCACTTCATGATAAAAGCTCTAAAAAACTAGGAACAGAAGGAAAGTACCTCAACATTGTAAAGGCTATATATGACAGACCTATAGCCAACATAATACTTAATGGTGAAAAACTGAAAACATTTCCCCTAAAATCACTCCTATTCAACATAGTCCTGGAATTCCTAGCCAGAGAAATTAGGCAAGAAGAAGAAATAAAAGGAATACAAATAGGTAAAGAAACTGTCAAAATATCCCTACTAGCAGATGACATGATCTTATCTAAAGACTCAAAAAACTCTACCCAAAAACTCCTAGACACCATAAACAGCTATAGCAAGGTGACAGGATACAAAATCAACTTACAAAAATCATTAGCTTTCCTATACACCAACAATGAACAAATTGAGAAAGAATATATGGAAACAATTCCATTTACAATAGCCTCAAAAAAAAATATCAAATACCTAGGATTAAGCTTAACAAAGGATGTGAATGACCTCTACAAGGAGAACTGCAAACCCCTGAAGAAAGAGATTGAGGAAGACTACAAAAGGTGGAAAGCTCTCCTGTGCTCATGGATTGGTAGAATCAACATAGTAAAAATGGCTATACTACCAAAATCAATCTACATGCTTAATGCAATTCCCATTAAAATCCCAATGACATTCATCACAGAGATTGAAAAATCTACACTAAAGTTCATTTGGAAACACAAGAGACTGTGAATAGCCAAGGCAAAATTCAGCAAAAACAGCAATGCTGGAGGTATCACAATACCCGACTTCAAACTATATTACAAAGCCATAGCAATAAAAACAGCATGGTACTGGCACAAAAACAGACATTAAGACCAGTGGAACAGGAATAGAGGACCTGGATATGAATCCACACAGCTATGCCCACCTTATTTTTGACAAGGTCACCAAAAACATACAATGGAGAAAAGACAGCCTCTTCAACAAATGTTGCTGGGAAAAGGGATTATCCACCTGCAAAAAACTGAAACTAGATCCATGTTTATCATCCTGTACTAGTATCAACTCAAAATGGGTCAATGACCTTAATATCAGACCCAAAACTCTGAAGTTAGTACAGGAAAGAGCAGGGAATACTCTGAAAGCAATAGGTATAGGCAAGAACTTCCTCAATAGAACCTCAGCAGCTCAGCAACTAAGAGAAAGGATGGACAAATGGGACTACATAAAATTAAAAAGCTTCTGCACAACAAAAAAAATGGTCTCTAAACTGAAGAGACCACCCACAGAGTGGTAGAAAATATTTGCCAGCTATATATCAGACAAAGGACTGATAATCAGAATATACAGGGAACTCAAAACCTAAACTCTCCCAAAATCTATGAACCAATGAAGAAATGAGCAACTGAACTAAACAGAACTTTCTCAAAAGAAGAAATTCAAATGGCAAAAAAACACATGAAAAAATGCTCACCATCTTTGGCCATAAAGAAAATGCAAATTAAAACCACACTAAGATTCCCCTGTTAGAATAGCCATCATCAAAAACACCAGCAACAGGTGTTAGCAAGGATGTGGGGAAAAAAGAACCCTCATACACTGCTGGTGGGAATGCAAGCTAGTGCAACCACTCTGGAAAACAATATGGAGACTTCTTTAAAAATCTAAACATAGATCTGCCATATGATCCAGCAATCCCACTCCTAGGGATATACTCAAAGGAATGCGACTCAGGTTACTCCAGAGGCACCTGCATACCCATGTTTACTGCAGCGCTATTCACAATAGCCAAATTATGGAAACAGCCAAGATGCCCCACTACTGACGAGTGGATTAAGAAAATGTGGTATTTATACACAATAGAGTTTCACTCAGCCATGAAGAAGAATGAATCTTATCATTCGCAAGTAAATGGATAGAACTGGAGAACATCATTCCGAGCGAGGTTAGCCAGGCTCAGAAGACCAAAAATCATATGTTCTCCCTCATATGCGGACTTTAGATCTAGGGAAAATGCAGCAATGTGGTTGGACTTGGGTCACATGCTAAGGGGAGAGTGCATATGGGAAGAATGGGGATAGGTAGGAAATCCAAAACTTGAGCATGTTTCATTTCCCCACTGCAGAGGAGCTAACACAGTAACCTTAAAAAGACAGAGATCAATATGGGAAGGTGACCTGGAAATAGTGAAGAGGTCAGGTAGAGATGAATCAGTTCAAGTTGTAATACACTTGTGTATGGAAGCAATGCTAGGAATCTGTCTGTATAGCTGTCCTTATCTCAACTAGCAAAAACACTTTGTCTTTCTTATTATTGTTTCTTTCTACTCTTCAACAAAATTGGAGAAAAGGACAGAACAGGTTCTGCCTGGAAGCGAAGGGGGTAGGGGGAGGAGGGAGAGGGCGGAGGCAGGAGGTAGAAATGGCCCAAACAATGTATGCTCATATGAATAAATGAATTAAAAAAGAAAAGAAAACAGAAGGGCTGGTGGAGTGGCTTAAGCAGTAAAAGAGCCTACCTAGCAAGCTTGAGACCCTGAGTTCAAACTCCTAAGGACATCAATTTAACCTGGTTCTTCAAAAAAGTTAAGAAAACTGATAAACCTCCTGCCAGATTGATCAAAGAAAGACACCAACTACTGATATTGAGAACAAGAGGCTCATAACTACAGGTCCCACAGACATTAACATTCCATAAGGAAATATGAAGAACTTTATGGCAGTGAATCTGACAACTTACATGAAATGAGCAAATTCATTTAAAGACATAACTGTCCAAGCTGATAACTACCAATAGATAGCCTGAATACCCCCACATCTATTAAACATACTGCATTATGTTGCAAGGGTGAGCCTCTAACTGGGGCTGCCAAAGATTTACAAAAGAAATAGTACCCAAGTTCTTTAGAAAAATACAAGAGGAAACACTTCCCAGCTCATCTAATTATTTCATAATTTTTAAAACATCAAGGGGAAAGCACTGCTCTCATTACTTTACTTACAGGGCCCCCAAATCGAAGTCATTACCCAAGAACTCTTCCAGCAGACTTGTGTCCAAAGTGCCATTGGCTCCTTGAGCTGAAAAGGCAATTGAAAATCTTGAGAACCATGACAATTTCAGAATAGCCACTAAAAACTTTAGCAAAATTATACCCCAGAATTTTAAAGTAACTAAATAGCACAATGTATTTACTGAGAATGTGGTCTTTCTTCCACTCAAATATGTCCCATAGAAATCTCTTTAGATGGTGTTACTCTCTTCCATTAAGGCTTTCTGACTGTCTGAGCCTGGTTTCTGTGCCCCTCTTTTTTATGTGCTTCCATAACAATAAATGCTTTAACTTATAAAATTGCCTGCTCTCTTTATCTCACACACACAGGCACTTATGCATATACATATAAACACATATATAACACACACCTTCCTATTTATAATAATAAAAAATCAGAAATAAATGACTAAAGATATTAATTGACATCCAGTCAATGAAATATTGTGCAGTAATTTAAAGATTAAAAAAAAAAGCAGGCCATAAAATTTTATTCCCAGCAAATTTGTTTCCAAAGATAAAGGCAATTGACAAATTTCAAATGAAAACATTCAGAGTATAAAATCTCCATGAGCCCCCTGCCCCCTTAAAAATAAGCTCTTGACAATGAGATTCAGCCAGTCAAGAATGATTCACAAGAAAGAACTTAAGATACATTGTAATCATATATATAAATGTCACAATGAAACACCCTGTAAATTAATATGTGTTAATAAAAATAAGATAAAAAAGAAAGAATTTGGAAGGGGAAAATCCCTGGTGAATAAATAATTCATAAATCAGGATTTAAACTGAATATCTAAAGGAATTGTGACTGCAGATCAAATGTAAAAGTAGTAAACCCTGACTAAGAGAAAATTATATAAGCAATGTTAAGTTGGAAGGTTGCAAGTTGGGAAGTGGGAAAATAAGTAAAACTGATCATCTCATCACTCATATCTCAGAGCCCATCTTCACTATCTTTATTAGTCATGCTTTTGTTACTAAAAAAAAAAAAACCTACTTGAAAAGGTACTAAGGTAGAAAGGAGAAAAATTGAGGTGATGAATCGATTTGTGACATATACATATCTAATGAAACTCCCTGCATAGCTATCTTAAACAAACAAAAATATCTTTTTTTTTCATTTTTTTTATTGTTGTGCTAGGTGGGGGTACGCTGTAGCATTTACAAAAGTCCTTACAATGTATCAAATATATCATACTTGAATTCTCCCCCTCCACTGCTCTCCTTCATCACTCCTCCCCTGATTCCTGAAACAGTTTTAACAGGTATCATTTTTGCATTTACATACATGCATATACATTTTTTGCACCATATTCATCCTCCTACCCCTTTCCCATACACCTCTCCCTTCCCACCAATGCCAAACACTCCCCAACCCTGCAGAACCTGTTCCACCCTCCTGTTCTCCAATTTTATAGAAGAAAAAAACATAAAAGATTAAAAGAGAAACATGGCGATTTTGCTAGTTTGAGATAAAGATAACACACAGGGAGTGTTCTTGCATTGTTTCCATGCATGTATATATCACAACCCAAATTGGTTCATCTCTTCCAGTCCTCTTCACTCCTCTCTAGTCCATTTCCCATGGTGGCCCCAGTCAGTTTAAGATTTCTATATTCATTCCTGTACAATGAGCACATCAGCCACATTCAAGGTTTTGGTTTCCTTCCCTTGCCCTATCCTTCCCGTGTGCAGTCTCCCCTGAGTGTGACCCATATCCCATAATATTGCTGCATTTATTTGCAGCACTATTCACAACAGCTAAGCTATGGAAACAGCCAAGAGCCCCACTACCGATGAATGGATTAAGGAAATGTGGTATTTATACACAATAGACTTTTACTCAGCCACAAAGAAGAATGAAATTTTGTCATTCGCAGGTAAATGGATGGAACTGGAGAACATCATCTTAAGCGAAGTTAGTCAGCCTCAGAAGGCCAAAAGCACGTGTTCTCCCTAATATGTGGATTATAGACCTAAAACAAATGTCTCTTTTTCAAAAACAGAGCACAGGAAGGTAAAACAGTTCCTGTCTAGGAGTAGGAGTTGGCACGAGTGGGAGGGAGGAGGATACAGGGAGAGGGTGCAGGGGGGTGAACGTGGTGGAAATGTTATGTACTCATGCGTAAAACGGAAAAATGAGAGCTGCTGACACTACTCTACAAATGGGGAGAGAGAGGGGGACTACAAGAGAACGATGGAGAGGGTAAATTTAACTAAGATACATCGTAAGCACTTTTGTAAATGTCACCATATACCCCCAGTACAACAATAATATGATAATTAAAAATTTTTTTAATTACCCGAGAAGGGCTAATGTTCTAAAGTAAGAGGTTTATTTAGTTCACAGTTTGGGAGGTTCAAGGGCATGGCATTGACATTGAGCTCTGGTGATGAATTTCTTGCTGGCAGCATCACAAGCTGGCACATGGTATCACATGGCAGAAGATACTGAGTACACATGTCTATTAATGTCCATTTTCTTGTGAAGCCACCGGGATTCAGTCATGGGGTGTTTCTAGCATCATCAACACATGAATTTGGGAATCAACTGCAAGAATTGACCAGGGGAATGGGGTGGGTACAAATGACATAAAAACCATAGTATTACCTAAATCTCAATTATTCAACTTAAAAAGAAAAAAAAAAACCCACTTCCTCTACTTCCTAAAATCATTGCTTTTGTTTTTGTTTTTTGTGGTATTGGTGTTTGAACTCAGGGCCTCACATTTGCTAGGCAGGTGCCCTATCACTTGAGCCTCATCCCTAGCCCTTCTGGCTTTTCTTTTTCTTTTTTCGGTACTGGGACTTTAACTCAGGGCCTTCGCCTTGAGCCACTCCACCAGCCCATTTTTGTGACGGAGTTTTTCAAGATAGTGTCTCGTGAACTATTTGCCTGGGCTGGCTTCAAGCCTCAATACTCTGAATCTCTGCCTCCTGAGTAGCTAAGATTATAGGGGTGAGCCACCAACACCTGTTGCTTTGGTTATTTTTGAGATAGGGTCTTGCTTTATACTCAGGCCAGTCTGGACAATAATTCTCCCATTTATGCTTCCCACCATTGCTGGGATGACAGGTGTGTGTCGCCATGCCCAGTTTTTTTCCATTGAGACAGGGTCTCACAAACCTTGGGAGAACTGTTTGGAAACCATATCATAATATCACTGGGCACCAGTGGCTCACACTTATAATCCTAACTACTCAGGAAGCAGTGATCAGGAAGATGGAGGTTTGAAGCCAGCCTGGGAAAATAGTTTATCAGATCCTATCTTAAAAAAAACATCACAAAAATGGGCTGGTGGAGTGGTTCAAGGTGTAGGCCTTGAGTTCAAATCCCAGTACCACAAACAAAAAAACCAAAACTGATGTCAAAACTTGACAGAGATGAAATGCATAAAGAAATTTGCAGATTAATATCATTTGTGAATATTATACTCAAGTCCTAAATAAAATGTCATCAAATGGAATTCAACATTAAGAGATTTATCATTAAGGAGCACAAAGATGACTTGATATTAACGGAACATATACTCCCTATCCTCTGCCCCACTCTCTGGCATTCCTGGTGGAAGAATATACTAGTGTCCACTCAAAGTACACAGAGGCTTGAAATCTGAGTTTCCTTCAGAGTCCTCTGACTATGCTTTGTCTTATCACAGCAATTTGAATGGCATGAGAACCTCCCACCCAACCCTAGGATTCCAAATAATTGTATAGGTACTTCCCACAACACTGCAGCACCACTGTGCTCCACACTACCACAACCAATATCTGAAGCTGACATCCAAGGGTTAAGTTAAGGCAAGCAGATTATTTGTGTTAAGTGCAGTTCCCTTGCAATTCACTGCTTGCCAGGGATCAACAAAAGCACTTACGTCCATCATTTCTAAGGGTGCAAGGACACTGCAGGGTGGGAGTATTGTCTTTGGCAACTTCCAATCTCCATTTTTTTTTTTTTTTTTTGCTGGATTCTCACTTATGCCTTATTTTTTTTCCTTTTTCTTTTATTATTCATATGTGCATACAAGGCTTGGTTCATTTCTCCCTCCTGCCCCCACCCCCTCCCTTACCACCCACTCCGCCCCCTCCCTCTCCCCCCCCTCATTTGCATGGTCTGTTTTGTTGTGTAAAATACTTTGCTTTTCTGGAGAATTAAAATATTCACCCCTATGGGATCTCTGAAAAAATCACTATTCTCCTTACTTTTGTCATCAGGGGGAAGTTAAAAGGTTTTTCTGCTAGCTTATTAAATCTGAAATAGCTCATAGGTAATTTAATGAAGTCTTAATACATTTTGTGGGCTTTTTTTTCTAGGTATGATTTAAATATTCAATACATTAGTTCTCTGTCCTCTACATCCATATCCTTCATGTTTTATGCTGGCTTAAAAAAAAGAATTCAGATGCTCTCTTTTTTCAGTAGCCTAGAATTATGGAAATTGTAAAGAAGAGACATCAACAACTCTATTTAAGGACATGTACCAATAGGGAAATGGGTGGAATATAGCTTAAGTTTCCCTTGGAGTCACAGGAGAAAGAGATCTCTAAAAACTATGGTATTCAGAATGGCCACAGTGTTTAGTCTTGACCTAACCTTCAAAGAAAAGATAGGATGCTGATGGCAGGACAAGACACATTATTCTTTCATTGATTCAACTAATATTTACTAAGCACCTGTCCCATGCCAAGCACTGCACCAGGTTCTGGAAACACCACAGTAAAAGAGACAGAGAGAGAGAGGGAGAGAGAGAACTTTTCTAGGGGACTTACATTCTAAAGAGGGGCAGAATAAGATATCCACAACATCTGAGAAACAACCAGCATACATTTGGATAGTGATGAAAATAAACAAGGCAGTATGACAGACTGTGGCAGAGAGACAACCTTTCAATTTAGAAGCCTCTCCAGGCGGAGTCAGCCATGCAAACACTAAGGACACAGCATGCCAGGCAGAGGGAGTGGCAAGGACAAGAGCCCAGGAACTGGCCTGCGCTTAGCCTATTTGAGAAGCAAATACTTTCAG